TCAACGCCAAACCCACTATAGAGACAGAATTATCATAAGCTGAAGATATGCACATGTACTATAGACACGCACTATGTATAAAATAAGCTTAATTAATGTGAAGTATCAATTGATCTGCAAGTGATATTTATTATTCTATTATTACTGATAAAAAATAAAGGTATGCTTAGCTTGAAAATCAGAAAATAAATTTTTTTTTTTTAGATAACTGAAAATAAAACAGTAAATTATACCGACCTCATCTATGATTTGTCATAATTACAAGAACCTATCATTTGGTTTGAAAATTTACACGGATCTCTCTTCTGTTACGGTCAACGTAAGTCAATGACGGATTCCTATGATGTCATCCACTTAATTAAGTTAAATACCCATAATACCCTTATCCCTACCATAGATTGTTTCTCCCTCCTCTCTCTACCTCCTACCAATTCAGGCCATGTCTTAGGTTAATGATGGGATTTGGATAACTCCTTGCCATTTGGGAGACGATGTTTACTATTAATGCCTGATGATATGAAGGTGGAAGATTTGAATTGAGGTGGCCATGTCTTGAATTGGTAGGGTTTGGATAACGAATAAGGCAACTCGAATATTGGGGTTTGAGAAAGAAGAGAGAGTCACAGCCTCGTCACCATTCTTCGTGGTCATCGCCTGGTCTATTGCCGTCGCCAATGTCTCGATTCATCACAGGAATAGTCACTACAACAGCCGAACACTTTGCTCGCCGTCCCCCTACTTTTTCTTTCTACCCCTCCTCTCTATACTACCATATACACACAACAATCCACCAACCCACCCACCACCGCCATCTATTCACTCTCACTCTCTCTCTCTCTCTCTCTCTCTCTCTACCCCACTACCACTACCACCATTACCATCACCAATACCCACCACCACTAACAAGCTCAACAACATTCGCAAAAGCTAACCTAAGAACTACAAGTATACGCCATTAACAGTTTCTCTCCTCTCAATATGGCGGTGTTTATCAGAATTTATTGTTGGAGAATATCTGTATATATGTTCTTGTTCTAGGTTCATAATTAATTTTATAGATCCCTTGAATATTTAGTGTATGCCCAAATTGAATTGTACACAAAGTATTTGGGGTTCACGGGTTAGAGTAATGATACCCAGTGAATATATGTCTACATGTTCTTATTATGGGTTTAGATATTTAATTTTGTGGATCTGTTGAATATTTTGGTGTATGTCCAAATTAATGGTGGTGGTTTGTCGGTGGGTGGTGGTTGAGAATGTGGCAGCAGCGATTTTGAAGATGAAGTGCAAGGTAATTTGCATCTCATCACTGTTATGGTGGTGGTCCACCAGAATTTATTACCAGAGAGGATGGTAGTGGGTGGTGCTGATATAGAGATAGTGAATAGACGGACCTGTGAAGAAAGATTGCTCAAAACCTAGTGAGGAATGGTTATATATGTGGTGGGGTGATTGGTGGTGGTGATGTATATATATATATAAACAGAGAGATAGGAGAAAGAGTAGTCAAAGAGGGTCACCATGGGTTTGCTGGTATACAAACAACGAGTCTGAATGGGGGCTCCAAATTTGTGCGAAAATTTTGGGAATGGAGTGAGAATGAAGGAGTTCAGAGAATTGAGAAATTAAGGATGGAGAAAGAGATCCAAGAATGACGAGAGAACCAAGAGTCTGAGATGAGAGAGATTGAGCCACATATGCATTTCCATATATATATATATATATCTAAAAGAATATGGGTAGTTCAGTCATTTACTATAATAACTTAAGACCATTTTAGTAAATTAATAAGGTTCGTTAGTCCATTTGACGGTCCGTCACTAGGAGGGGAGGTCCATGTAGGTTAGTTTCATTTTTAGGGGAGGTCCGTATAAATTCCCAAACCAAAGGGGAGGTCCCTATAATTATGACAAACCATAGGAGAGGTGTGTATAATTTACCCAAGTAAAAAATAAAAATAAAAAAACTGTACAAAAACTCTATTTGGTTCAGTTTCCCGAAAACTCAATTATAAAAAGGCCAAGGACAAGCATACTTGGTTTGCAAGTCTGAAAATAATTCTCAAAAAACAGAAAACTATTTTTGGATAACTATAATATATAGTTCTCTGAAAATAGATCTGCCTTGCTTGATTTGTAATTCTGAAAATAGTTCTCAAGAATTTAGAGAATAGAAAACAGTTTTCAGAAAACAATAAAGGACAGTTATCTGAAAATAGGTTTTTTTATAACTGAGTTTTCAGAAAACTGAACTAAGTAAAGTTTTTTGTACAGTTTTCTGAAAACAGAAAACTGTTCTAAAGTTACAAACCAAACAGCCCCGATATTTTTATAACTGAGTTTTTAGAAAATAGTTTCCAGAAAATTGAACAAACCAGAGTATTTGTACAGTTTTTTGATTTTTAGTTCTGTGAACTATTTTCAGTGTTACAAACCAAGCAGACCTCTTTTTTGAGAGAATTATCTTTTATGGTTCTCTAAAAATAGTTTTATGTTTCCTGAGTTTTTGAGAACTATTTTCTAAGTGATAAAACAAGCCGGCCCTAACACTTTAAATGTTTTGGTACATGTTTCTATTTGCATAAGTAAGGAAAAAAAAAATTGAATACATAGCTACATACTCATGAGGTGGTTGGTACGCAGAGTATAACGAAATGGAATGAAATATCTATTCCAATCATTCTTTGTTGAGTATAAGATTTAAAGTGGGAATGACCATTCCCTTAGATTGAAATTTCATTCCACAACTAATTCTAATGGGTTTTTTATTTGAAAACTTGATTTTTTTGTAAAAAATTTTAAAAATCAAGTTCTCAAAAAACCATCATATTCTAAATTCTAAAACCACCACCACACTATCACCGCCTTCCACGACCACCATTGCCTTTCACCATCGCCACCTCCACTGCCTTCTATCACAACCACCATCACCGACTTCCACTATCGCCACCACTACCACCTCCATTGCCTTCCATCTACATTATTGTCAACACCACCATCACCAGCACTTCTACCTTCCCCCACCACCACCTGCACCACTGCCGCCTTCCACCACCACCACCACTACTTCCACCATTGACACCACCTTCCACCACCACAACCTACACTACTGCCACCTTCCACCGCCATTACCGCCACCACCGCCGCCTTCTATCACCTACACCATTGCTACCTTCTTCCTCCACCACCATTGTTGTCGCCATCCACCATTGCCATCATATATATATATATATATATATATATATATATATATATATATATATATATATGTATGTATGTATATAGATGAACGTTATTTTGTTAACTTAATTTATTTGTTACTGAGAAAAGTATTTTGGAGAATTCAATTTTAAATTCATTTCAATCTAGGGTTTAAATTAGTCCAACCAAATACTAGAATGATTATTATCATTCCATGTTATTATTATCATTCGATTCCTACATCACTTTATATTTGCAATCAAACAATAAAATTAGAATGACCATTTCATTCTATTCCCATTCTCATTCTATTACTATATACAAAACAAAATATTAGATAAAAACTTTTAAAAAAAAAGTCAATTAAAGAATCTCTCCCCCAAAAGTGGTAGAGCAAGAGCAAAGTGCATGCCTTTTCCTAGAAATATTTTACTAAAATTAAGAGCAAGTGCCCAGTGATGCTAATGGACAGTGCTTTTAAAAGTAATTTAATTTCTCTATTTGTGTACCATTTAATGTGCATACAACACACACACATATAGTTTAATTCCCTCAAGTAATTAGTTTTGAATATCTTATTTTAATTGAACAAGCCCATAAGAACTAGGTTAAAGAAAATTATATATTTTCCATCATACAAAACTAATCTCTTCTATGACCATCCAACAGAATGCCAGCATGTGTTATTAATCTGCTATGCAAATAAATTATTTGTTCAAGCAAGAAAAAAGAATATTTAAACTAAAAATGCTATTCATGATTAGATGATGAGGATCTTCCAGTTATAAGTATACTGGGTTAATCTTAGAAGTTGTCACGTACTCACTAAATTTCAAAATAGAAAATTTCAAAAGGTGTCCTAAAGTTAAAGAATACAAAAAGAAAAAATGGTGCTCTTTACTATTTTCATGATCATAGAATAAAAATATTTAATTATTTGACCTTGTTACTTTTATGAACAACTTGTATTAAATTAAGGTCTACAGGATTAGAGTTTTACCAAATTTTATATTATTCTGACGTATTCAACCACTTAGTTTATGCACTTGAATTTAGTATATGCTAGATGAAGGAATTGATCCATTTTATCAAATCAGATGAATGGGTAGGATTGTATTTTTTATTTTATTTTTTCAACCTGGATATGATGAAATGACTAATGAGTTATGGATCATAAAATGTTTTCTATAATTATAGTACTCAAAGAAAATCAAAGAAAAAAGAATATTTCAGTGAAAAATGTGGAAAATCATTGCATAATGGAAATGCTATCTTAGGACAAATCTGGCAGATACCGATATGAAAAGCTTCATCAATGTGGCTGCAAAGAGTGCTAACTTATTTTCTGAAAAAAAGAGAGTACTAACTTGTTAATTTTTATTTTTTGGAGTACCCTAGTTTTACCCTTAGTTTTAATATATCCTAAGAACAAAATTAGAACCATCAATGTTTTTTTTTTAAAAAAATTTATTTCTTTCTTTCCCCTCAAGTAACCCTCCATGGTTGTTGATTAGTCACAACTCAAAATGGGTACAGGAAATTATTTTAAACGAAGTCACTTCATCTAACATTTATCTCCATATCTTTGAAGTCTAATCCATGGTTCATATAAACAACATAAATATATATATATATATATATATATATCAATCAAATGATGATCAATTATATATATACTATTAAAGCACCAAGAAGAACCAATATATAAATCAATTATTGAGTAGAAATCATTAAAATAGAAATAAACCAACTTTTTATTACAAACAGAAAGGAAGCAACACGAAATTTAATGTACATAGGGAACTATATATATATTGCTTTGGATCTCATTCACTTCTCTTAGTACCCTATATATTTCTTTCCAATTTCTATCTTAATCTCACTATTCAAATATGATGAAGTACTTACGCCATTCCTCTCTTTCTCCCTCTTTCTTTTGCTCTTCCATTCAATAAGGTGGCCTGGTATGAGTCCAATTGTAGGCATCATGACTCATTTGAACTCCATTAGCCAATAAATTCGCCGGCATATTGAAAAGGGGCAAAGACGAGGATTCAGGTAGCCCGGGCTGCTGTTGACCCCCACCACTACTTCCAATGGCAGGCGGTGAATTTCCGGGCAGCTGAGCCTGCCCAGCACTACCTGCATCATCATGCTCTTCTTCCTCCAGCGGTAATCTCTCATAGGTTGCATTAGCAAAAGTGGCGGCAATGACCATGACTGGTCCGGCCGCCACAAGTGTCCCAACGACACTCCCTCCAACCACCTGCCCTTGACCGCCTGCCAGGTACACGGTCAATCCTGTTGATCCAGGAGGGGCCGGTCCGGGTAGAAATGCCCCCGTTAGGGACAGGATCTCAAACCTCCCCTGTAGTGCCACCACAGCACCCGGTGCAGCCGGCTGTCTCAGCATCACGTTGGCCACCGAGCCGCTTCCACTGAGCACACAGACACCTCGCTGACGCTTCCTCGCGAATTGGGCTATGCTTTCCGCCACATCTGTGCCACTAGCCACCTCCATCACATGGCTACGGAGCGCGTTAGGGCTATCACGGGTCACGAAGATGGGTGGTTTCGGCTTGTTTTTAGATCCAGGAGGCCGGCCTCTAGGTCTTCGTGTACCGACCTCAACTGCTCCTTCTTTGGGGTCATCATAGTTCTCTCTTTCTTCATCGTCGTCATCACCTCTCATGCCACCACTTCTACCACTACTGTAATTTTCATTTATGGATATCTGTAGATCCCGTTTATTCAGCATCGGAGGACTAGCTGCCGGCTCAATTCCCGGCAGTCCTACCTGTCCGGTCCACCACCGATTAGCCAGGCTTGCAAATTCAAGCAAAACTTGCAGCGAGTAGAAGAAATATTATGAAGACAACCCAACAGCTGATTAGCCTCCCTCTTTGCCTCTTTCACTTGTTGACTTGGTAAAAATGAAACCAAAAGCTAAACCAACAGAATTTCTTACTCTTTCACTGATTTGAGAGAGAGGGAGAGATGATGAGAAGAAGAGAATTAGGTGCATCAAGCAGAGAGAGAAGATCTAGAGAGAGAAGGTTGAGGATGTAGATCTTGAAAGAGAACACAAAGACCCAAGTGATCTAAATAGTGGAGAGAAGAAAGAAATGATGCACAAAAAAACCCTTGCAAGAATCAACAGGAAAAGTTGAAAAGAATAAAGCACTCAGAGGTGTTGAAAACCCCAATAGTTTGTTTGTAATATGATATATGTTTATAGTATGTGTGTGTATACAGTATACATACATATATATATATATAACTAATTAGTACAACAACATTATAGCAATAACAATCGTCGACAAATTTGTTTTTATGTTTTTTTTGATTGATGCGTTTGTGTTGCGACTTGGGGGAGCTGGTTTTTTTTTTTTTTTTTTTTTTTTTTTTTTTTTTTTTTTTTTCTTGTACTTTCTCTCTCTACATTTGAGGTTTCTTTTCTCTCTCTCCGACTCCGTTTAGGTGTGGGGTTCTTGAAAATTAGGGTTATCTCGTGGGCCGCGTGCGCGTGGGCAGGTGGGGAGCATGTCGCTGTCTCGTGGTCCAACAAATCAAACGGAGGGCGCAGGATTAGAGAGCGAAATAAAAGATAGAGAGAGATCAAGAGGAGCATTAGAAAGAAAGGGGAAAATTACTTATATAGACACTATAGAGCTGAGGTCCTTTCTCGAGTTATACATCTTGAAAAAGATGAAAGGTGAGGGCCTGGTAAAGAAATAAGTGGATGGGGAAGACTTTGGGAAAAAAACATAAAAAAAATATGTGGATGGGGCAAAGTGAATAACTTATTAACCATTTATTTTTTATTTTTTTATTTTTTATTTTTTAAATTAGGAGTTGAATACATCTAATTTTTTTTTTTTTGGTTACGAGAGCAAAAATAATGTCATTTTGCTCAAATAAATATAGTTTATTATGTTCGACTTTCGAAGTTTGTATCACACCCCTTATAAAATGAAATAAATATATATTAATTTACTCTGTATATATTTTGGTCCCATGAATGAAATTACTTGCGGAAGTGATTGAACATATCCTATAATAACATTGACCTATACTTTATACTTATGAATTAGTGTATTATGTCCGACTTTCAAAATTCATATCACACTCCTTATAAAATGAAATAATCGTTGGTTTATTTATTTTGGTCCCACGAATGAAATTACTTGAGGAAGCGATTGAACATACACTATAAATAACATTAACCCATATTTTATACTTATTTTTAAAGAACTGTTAAGTGCAAAAGGTTGAAGCAAACCCTTCTTTGGTACCATTAATTAATCAACAAATAATTATAGCTGTCTAACCAATATCCTGTATTATTTCTTTGAGTTCTAGCTATCACTTGACTTCAATATAAAATTAATTATATTACCAATGAATCATGTTACACTAGTTTTTTTCATACTAAAAATGCAGCAATTTATGAAGCTACTATTGTTATTGCGATACATGTTTAACATGCCCATAAAGAGAAGCACCTTTCAAAGCTTCACTTTACTAGCTGCACAGTAATTTAAACTGTTCATTTCTGCTTCTGGTAATATATATATATATATATATATAAATGATGAACATCATCTGAAGTAATGCTTTCCGAAAGTATAATAATAAATAAATAAATAATAAAACATCATCTGAACTAATAGTTCATGTATAGAAATAGAATCATCATAAGCTTATGATCTGCACATGTGCTTATAAAAGAAGCTTAACTAACGTGAAGAATCAATCTGTAATCTGTTCTGTAAGTATACAGCATCATACATACACTGATCCAGAATATAACTATGTTTCATAAATTAAAAAATGCAAATTATAACCAAATCTTTCGAATTTCACCGATATATTTAATCAGTAGAAGGGCATTATTAATGAAAAAGTTCAAACTTACTGATATTCATTGTCCCCCTCCCCCCCCCCCCCCGCGCGCGAAAAAAAAAATTTGGTATTCATTGTTCTACTACAAATAAAAATTAACACTTTAAAGTTTTGGCACATGTAAATTGTGAAGTGATATATATATATATATATATATATATATATATATATATATATATATATAGTCCCGTTCAGTTACTCCTTAGTATGTAGGGAGCAATATACGCAACTTTTAATTCAGTCGTTGGATTTCATCCAATGACTGAAAATTGAAAACAACTATATTTCAGTTTCTGATTTTTAAAAACACCAAAATCACTCAATTTGAGTGTTTTATATAAAATTAAATACCTTATAATTAGGTATTAATAATGAAAAAATTAAACAAATAATTTCACTAACATCGTTTGGATATAGAAGACTGAGAGTAGTGAAGTCCTTCTATTACGAAAAAAAAAAAAAAAAAATCTCTTCGTACAAAAAAAAAAAAAAAAAAAAAAAAAAAAAAAAAAAAAAAAACCTTTGACACCTTCCTTAACGAAATTGGGAAAAAAAAAAAAAAAAAAAAAAACAAAAAACATTCCGTAACGAAGGGTGTGTGGAATTCAAAATGTTGACTATTGAAATACGATTGATTTAAACTACAAAAATGGTACCAATCTAGTAAGACCATTAAATGAAAAAGAAATCCAACCTTGAAAAGGTATACAAGTACTAAATGAATAATTATTACAAATTCTATTAAAACGATTAAGAGAATCCACATTTCAATTAATAACAAGCTTAAAAAAACAGAGAACTAAATGTAATTACTAAGGAGTTTCATGTATTTGATAATAAGCTAGATCAATATTCAAAACTTGATTACAGAGTTTGTAAGAAATCCAAACAATGAACACAAAAGAAAGCATGGCAACTTCAGCTGCTGAGAAGGTGGAACAAAAAAGGGACTTGGTCAAGGTGCATGTGACCAAGCTTGTAACCGGTTGGTCTTGGTACTAAAAATTTTTAGTCTTTAACATGTTTCTGCTGGAAAACGTGCAAGTTTTAAAAAAATTTTGAGGAATTTTCATACATAAATTTTAATTCATCAAATAGAGACAAGTTTTATGTAAAAATAAAATATGATGTATCATTCAATTAATAAATTAAATACTTACATCAAGGTTGGAGTAAATCTTAGATCTCTCTTCTAAAGTGAATATTCTCACTTATTGTAGCTCTCTTTGTTAGATGCCTTCTCCTTGGATCTCCATCTTCTTGGTAATGGTCTTGCCTTTAGGAATCACCCATAAGCCTCCATGAATGACCTTGGAAAATTAGGCTTGTGGGAGCCTCCATTAAATAAGAACACTAACCTTAAATTTTTAGAGAGAGAAAAATACATTCCTTCTTTTCATCCAAAAAGTCTCACCTAAAATATACATGAACCATGTATATATAGGCAACATAAAGATAAGAAAAGGAAACAATAAATCATTCTCAATCTCTAATACACATGTCTCAAATCTAATAGAATTCCAATATCAAGTTGGGCTATGAGTGATAATTCTTTGGGCTTATTATTTTATTGGCTACAATGAATTAATAATTGGCCCGATCCATGGACTCAATTCAATTAATTCATAAATTAATTTCTACTCCACTAAAAGAAATTAATTGAACTCCAATTTAATAATAAATGATTTCTAAGTCAATGTTGTACTTTGACCCCTCTATGCATAATTAATTATCGGATAAATAAAGCCATTAATCCGACTACTTAATTAATATATTTATTTTGGTACCTTTGATTATATCCGGCTTGATCACAATAAAATATTTGTTTGATAAAAATAATAATTTAAATAAATATATATATAATAAATCATTTTGTCTAAAAACACACGACGGCCTTCGAATTTACTTTATGATCAACCATAATCAATACAAAATAAATACAAGTAGCAATGATGCAAATATTAAAAATATAACCCTCTAACTATTAATACATAATTACCCAAAGTGCCAATCTATGGATTCCGAAGATTCCGCCGCACAAATTAAAGTAATTATTAATTAATAAAAGAGTTTATACTTTTCTCATACTAATAATCAAATGCCATGACAGTGATAGGGAGCAATTGTATACGACGGCTCTTGCAATATATCTTAACCTAACGAGGATCCAGTTCAAGTCTTAATTAATAATGAGTCTATCCATAATTACCGATTATTAACAATTTATGATTACTATTTATATTTATGTATTGATCGCCGTCACATATATATATAAATATCTCTTGTAATCAAATGGATACTATCAATTCCATAATAAATCAAAACATAATACATTGAATTCACCAATTATATAAATCATATATATTTCAGATATGTCAAGAACATATGTCACTATAATCCAAATAGGAATTTGTTATGCCAGGACATATAAATCTCAACAGTTTCACCAATAAAACTCCAAGAAAAAAGCTAAGGACAACTTCAATATTCTTCTCTCCACTTCCAACGTACCTAAATAAAAACAAAATAATTTAATATTATTTTGTACAAATGATAATAACAGAAAGAATAATACATAAATATGTAAAGTAAACAAAATCATAATTATTTTGAAACAATCTGATGAAAATATGTTTTCAAAAAATAATGATTTAAAATATATAAACCTTTGACACAGTTTAGTCACTTGTGTCATGATCAGTATGTTCAGAATGTTCAGACTCGGAAGTGATATCCTTATCACTATTTATGTTTGATATGTAAAAGAGAAAACAATGTATGTCAAAATTTATTTCATAAAGTGTAAGTGAATAATAATTTGAAAAAGAAAATAATTTACCTATTGTTAAGTTTCGGACAATTTCTTTTGTCGTGAGATTGTCCAAATTTGCCACAACCATCACAACGCCTATGTTTTGACTTTCCTTTCTCTCTCCATGATCTCAGACGTTTACCACATCCTTTTGCTCTAACTTGTAGGGGATCGTTAAAAGGTCTTTGTTGAGGCACGTCCCATTGCTTTTCTTTTTCAAACCCATTATTTTCAGCATCTTGGCTTGAATTCATGACTTTAAGTTATTCATAAACTGTTTCCAATGTCTTTGTCAGTACCTCAGTCCCTTTTTCTAAGATAACAGCTTCATCAACTATAGTCGATGCAAGT